AAGAAGACACTTCCTGTTTCTCTGCAGGAACCGACCAATCAGGATGAAGCTTCACTCGTCAGACAAGAACCACAAAAACCAGCCGAAAACAGAACCAGACCAGCCTCCAGGCGAGGGAGGAGGACCACAAAAACAGCCAAAGTTTCTTCAGATCAAACTTTGGCTACAACAGAACAAGATTTTACTGTGAAAGAGGAACCATGGACCAGTCTAGATGGACCAGAACTGATCCAGGACCTGGACTTGGTGGAAAACATGGGTCATTCCATGAGTGATCTACAACCAGCTGCTGAGGAACCAGAACCAGAACCAGGACTGTCCTCACAGCCTGTAGTCCAAAACAATCCCCGACAGAACATAAAAAAAATTAAGAAGGGACTTCCTGTTTCTCTGCAGGAACCAACCAATCAGGACGAAGCTTCACTCGTCAGACAAGAACCACAAAAACCAGCCGAAAACAGAACCAAACCAACCTCCAGACGAGGACGGTGGGTCACAAAAACAGCCGAAGTTTCTTCAGATCAAACTTTGGCTACAACAGAGCCAGGATTTACTGTGAAAGAGGAACCATGGACCAGTCTAGATGGACCAGAACTGTCCTTACAGCCTGTAGTCCAAAACAATCCCCGACAGAACGTCAAAAAACTTAAGAAGACACTTCCTGTTTCTCTGCAGGAACCAACCAATCAGGATGAAGCTTCACTCGTCAAACAGGAACCACAAAAAACAGCTGMAAACAGAACCAGACCAGCCTCCAGGCGAGGGAGGAGGGCCACAAAAACAGTCGAAGTTTCTTCAGATCAAACTTTGGCTACAACAGAGCCAGGATTTACTGTGAAAGAAGAATCGTGGACCAGTCTAGATGGACCAGGACTAGGACTGTCCTTACAGCCTGTAGTCCAACACAGACCTCGACAGAACGTTAAAAAAATCAAGAAGAAGAGAGTTTCTCTGCATGAACCGATCAATCAGGATGAAGCTTCACTTGTCAAACAGGAACCACAAAAAACAGCCGAAAACAGAACCAGACCAGCCTCCAGACGAGGACGGTGGGCCTCAAAAACAGCCGAAGTTTCTTTAGATCAAACTTTGGCTACAACAGAGCCAGGATTTACTGTGAAAGAGGAACCATGGACCAGTCTAGATAGACCAGGACTGTCCTTACAGCCTGTAATCCAAAACAAACCCAGACAGAACGTCAAAAAACTTAAGAAGAGACTTCCTGTTTCTCTGCAGGAACCAACCAATCTTGATGAAGCTTGGTTTGTCAAACCAGAACCACAAAAAACAGCTGAAAACAGAACCAAACCAGCTTCCAGACGAGGGAGGAGGGCCGCAAAAACAGCCGAAGTTTCTTCCGATCAAACTTCGGCTACAAAAGAGCCAGGATTTACTGTGAAAGAGGAACCATGGACCAGTCTTGTTGGACCAGAACCAGTACAAGGACTGTCCTTACAGCCTGTAGTCCAACACAAACCCCAACAGAACGTTAAAAAACTCAAGAAGAGACTTCCTGTTTCTCTGCAGGAACCAACCAATCAGGACAAAGCTTCGCTCTTCCAACAAGAACCACAAACACCAGCCAAAAACAGAACCAGACCAGCCTCCAGACGAGGGAGGAGGGTCACAAAAACAGCCGAAAACAAAACCAAATCAGCCGTGAGGGAAGACTTGAAGAAGTGCTCGGCGCAGAGAAATCAAAGCTCTAAAACCTCACTGCCGAAAGAAAATGCTCGGCGTGGAGCGACGAGTCTGAAGCAGGAAGAGCTGAAAGTTGAGAACGTCAAACCCAGAGGTCCTGGTCGACCCAGAAAGACTGTTCTCATCAAGACTGAACCAGTTTGGGATTTTGAAATTAATCATCTGGATTTCCCCTCAATGGACCCAAAAACTCCTCATCCTCCTGCAGAAAGTTGGAAGAAGAAACCTCCGAAACAAACCCTGAAACTTTACAATAAATTGGAACCTGTTATAGTTAAAGAAGAGCCGTATTCAGTTCCAGTTGAACTTTACGGCTCAGATGAGACAGCCGAAGGTTCGGTCCAGAAAACCAGGCAGAGAAAAGTGAAACAGGTCAAAGATGATCCCACAGAACGGGAGGAACACCTGAAAAGATATCTGAACCATTCTGGAAACAAAACGATGAGCAAAAAGGCCAAGATGATTTCTGACAACAGCAGAGAAGAGACACAGCAGATGGAGGCCGAAAACACCACTAAATTCAACAAAATGAAGAAACCTTTGGCTGCGAGTGGCAGAGCAAACAGAACTGTTAAAGCTGTGCCTGGAAACGTTTCAGGAAACAGGAAACGGAAAAGTCCACCGTCAGAGTTTGATGAGACGTTTCCGAACTCGTCTTCAGGTTCAACCCGACAAGAAGACGTGATGGAGAGATGTAAGAAGAGAGCCAAACGTGAGCCGAAGAAAGCTGTTTGCACTGCCTCAGCGGGTCCAGAAACTGGACCCACTTTGGACCAGATGAACCCACAGCTGACACCAGATCTGAAGGAGACTGTTTCTGTTGACGTCAATTCAAAGACGAAGACAACATCAGGCGTGGAAAAGTGTTGGAAAAGAAAACAAACGTCAAAGAAGACATCAAAGGAACTAGAACTCCAGGTCTGTCCTGATTGGACACGTGGACACGACACTGCGGAAGACGACAGATTATATCAAACATCAAGTGTCAAACAGAAAAGAGATGTATTTACGGTAATGGAGGAGTCGTCGTTTCTTGTGACAGATTTAAATATCGTCCAAACAAAAACGGATGAAGGTTCAGTTTTATCTGCCGCTCCGACAAAAACCAGRGCTAGGAAGAGACGAGGAAGAACTAAAGCCCACCAGAAGGACAAAAAGGAAATCAGTCCTCTGGAAGATATTTCTCCCAACTCCAGTTTCTTCGATCAAAACCTGAAGATTCAGCCGAAAACTCAGAGCGAGCTCAGAGAAAGGAGACCTCTCCAGTGCCCCTTCTGTGTCCGCTCCTTTCGACATATTTCTGCTTTCCATCTCCACAAACGAATTCACACCGGAGAGAAACCGTACGGATGTTCTGTCTGCACCAAGAGGTTCTCCGGGMGGCTCCTGCTCCTCCAGCACGCCAAGGTCCACGAGGGCCCTGCTGCCCTGCGCTGCCCGTGTTGTAACGGAGCGTTCAGGAGCAAACCAGACCTCATCCGTCACTTCAAGGTCCATCTGAACGAAGCTGAGGGTTCACAGAAAGATCCGGAGCAGAAYGATCGGACGGACTCCGGTTCCTCGAGCGTTGAAGCTTTCAGGTGCTCCGTTTGTTCCAAGAAGTTCAAAAAGACGCCCACCTTAAAGATGCATCAACAGAGACACGCCAGGAGGAAGTTCATCCGCTCTGTTCAGGAAGCGACCTCCGTTTCCTGTCTTATGAGCGACGATGACGGATTTTTGGTTTCCCGGCGTGACAGTGCAGTGGTCTTAATGCCGACAGTGTTTAAGTGTTCAATCTGTAAACAGCTTCACCGGCGCTGGTGCCACTACGTCCTGCATTTACAATCGCATGTTTCTGGCACATCTCACCGCTGTGGCACATGTGGACAAAGTTACGACCAGCCCCCGGACACCCCACGCCACTGCTCGGTGTGCTGCAGGAAGAGCGGCGAGGAGACGACGTGTCGAGGTTATCYGAAGAACATCTGCAAGGCAAGGAAAGATGAGGAACATTTCAGTTCTACAGAGACTGAAACACCAATACTACCATCAACGAGAGACTCAGCRCCTCAAACAAGCGAGAACTTGAACCTCGACTCTCCAACAAATGAACTCTTGGACCTGAACGTTTCAAAACGTGACCACTTGGACCTCAATACCCAAACAACTGACCACTTAGACCTTGACAATCCAACRAATGACCAGTTGGACCTCAATGCCCAAACAAAGGACCAGTTGGACCTCAATGCCCAAACAAAGGACCACGTGGACCTTGACACAAAAACGAAAGACCACTTGGACCTTTACGCTCTGACAAACAATGGCTCAGACCTTGAGGCTCCAATGGAGTACGACTTGGACCTYGAGGCTCCATCTCCAAGCTCTGCTTTCAGCCCAGTGTCTGGTCAAACGGCTCCACGGCTCTCTGGTCTCAGGCTTCCCGGACTTGGCGGCAGGTTTCTGGCAGGTCGGACGTTTCCTTGCTGGAACAAACTGTGGCTCCATCGTCGACGAGGCGGCGGAGCGTTCCGCTGCAACCACTGCCAGCTGGAGTTTCACTTCCTGGGTTTGTACGTCCGACACCTGCAGGAACATGCGGCTCAAATGACACACACGTGTCCATCACGTCCCGATGCTTTTACAGATAAAGAGGACTTAAAGACGTACCTGTCAGTCTGCAATAAGCGTTCAGACCGTCTGAACTGCAGAACATGTGGGAAAAGCTTCTCTGTCCAGAGGAAACTGAAGGAACACGAGCTGCTTCATAAAGGAAGGAGAACGTATGCCTGTCGGCCATGTCACCGCTCTTTTTCTTGCCCCGCCTCCTTAGCGGCTCACCTACAGACTCACAGGAAACAGCTTTGCGTGCCTCAGCCTGCTCGGGTCGACGAGCCCTTCCTGTTCCCGTACCGCTGCGGGAAATGTCCCGGCAGGTTCTCCAGCACCGACCTGCTGCAGGCGCATCAGGTGTGTCACTTTGTGGCGGGAAAGAAACCAGAGAGTTCTCCTGAGACGCTCGTTTCCTTCATTTCCAGCGTCCAGAGAGTYTCGTCTGACCCGCTCCCAAAGAAGCTTCCTGTGAGCAACAAGAAGCACCTGTTCAGGTACCCTCACCCGGACCGCCTCTACGTCGTCCCCGTCATCTCCTCAGAGCCGCCCATCATCGTCTCCGACACGGAGGAGGAAACAAGACCGGAGAGTCCTGAAGAGTCCCTTCAGCTACAAGTTTTAATCCAGTCTTTAATCCCAGAAAAATGTCAGAGTGATGAGGGCAGCCATGATGGAGAGGGCAGAGATGATGACGATGAGGGCAGCCATGATGGAGAGGGCAGAGATGATGACGATGAGGGCAGCCATGATGGAGAGGGCAGAGATGATGACGATGAGGGCAGCCATGAT